TATATATATATATATATATATATATATATATATATATATATATATATCTCCTATTAGCTCTGTCCCTCTAGAGAAACCTGACTAATACATGGATACATTTCATTCTTCCACACGTGGCTTGCCAATTATCCCAGCACCATTTGTTGAATAAGGTATCCTTTCCCCACTTTTTGTTTATTTGATTTGTCAAAGATCAATTGAGTGTAAGTATTTGGCTTTATTTCTGGATTCTCTATTCTGTTCCATTGGTCTATGTGTCTATTTTTACATCAGTAATATGCTGTGCTGGTGACGATAACCTTGTAGTAAATTCTGAAGTCAGGTAATGTGATGCCTCCAGATTTGTTCTTTTTGCTTAGTCTTGCTTTGGCTATGTGGGCTCCTTTTTGGTTCCATATAAATTTTAGGATTTGTTTTTCTTTTAGTTCTGTGTCATTACATTCTGCTGGCCTAGAGGTCTTAGTTCCAGAGGGAGGAACACTGCCACCAGGAGACACAACAACAATTCCACTCAACCGTAAGTTAAGATTGCCACCCGGACACTTTGGGCTCCTCCTACCTTTAAACCAACAGGCTAAGAAGGGAGTTACAGTGTTGGCTGGAATGGCTGACCCAGACTATCAAGATGAAGTCAGTCTACTACTCCAAAAGGGCGGTAAGGAAGAGTATGTGTGGAATAAAGGAGGTCCCTTGGTGTCTCTTAGTATTACTGTGGTGACTCTTAGTATACTAAGAGATAAGTATATCTTTTACTATATACTGTGTATTTGATGGGAATCACATTGAATTTGCAGATTGCTTTTAACAGTATGGCTTAGGCCAGGCGCGGTGGCTCAAGCCTGTAATCCCAGCACTTTGGGAGGCCGAGGCGGGTGGATCACAAGGTCAAGAGATCAAGACCATCCTGGTCAACATGGTGAAACCCCGTCTCTATTAAAACTACAAAAAATTAGCTGGGCATGGTGGCGCGTGCCTGTAGTCCCAGCTACTCAGGAGGCTGAGGCAGGAGAATTGCCTGAACCCAGGAGGCGGAGGTTGCGGTGAGCCAAGATCGCACCATTGCACTCCAGCCTGGGTAACATGAGTGAAACTCCGTCTCAAAAAAAAAAAAAATAAAAAATAAAAAAAAAATTAAAAAAATAAAAACAGTATGGCTTTTTTCAAAATATTGTTTCTACCCATCAATGATCATGGGACGTGTATATCTGTATATACACACACATATTTGTGCAGCTGTGTAAAAGGGGTTGAATTTGTTGATTCTCAGCTTGTTCACTGTTGGTGGAGAGCAGTGCTACTCATTTATGTATATTAATTTTGTATTCTGAACCTTTATTAGTTCTAGGAGCTTTTGGGATGAGTCTTTAGGATTTTCTAGCTATATGTTCATATCATTGGCAAACATCACAGTTTGACTTTCTGTTTATCTATTTGGATGCCCTTTCTTTCTTTCTCTTGTATGATTGCTCCGGCTAGGACTTCCAGTGCTATTTTAAATAGAAGTGGTAACATCAGGCATTTTTGTCTTATTTCAGTCCTCAGGGGGAATGTTTTTAACTTTTTCCCATTCAGTATAATGTTGACTGTGGGTTTGTCATGCATGGCTTTTATTACCTTAAGGTATGTACCTTCTGTGCTGATTTTGCTGAAGGTTTTAATCATAAAGGATGCTCAATTATGTCAAATGCTTTTACTGTGTCTATTGAGATGATCATGTGATTTTTTTTTTAAATTCCATTCATGTGGTGTATCACATTTATTAATTTGCATATGTTAAATCCATGCATCCTTGGCATGAAACCCACTTGATCATGTGGATTATCTTTTTGATATGTTGTTGAATTTGGTTAGCTAGTATTTTGTTGAGAATTTTGTGTCTGTGTCCATCAGGCTATTAGTCTGTAGTTTTCATTCGTTCATTCATTCTTCTTTTTTTTTTTTTTTTTTTTGTTGTTGTTGTTGTTGTTCTTTCCTGGTTTTGATATTAGGGTGATACTGGCTTCATAGAATGATTTGGAGAGGATTTCCTTTTTCTTTATCCTTTGGAATAGTGTCAATAGGATTGGTACCAATTCTTGTTTGAATGTCTGATAGAATTCAGCTGTGAATTTGTCTGCCCTGGACTTTTTTTTGGTTGGCTTTTTAAAACAATTACCATTTCAATCTTGCTTCTTATTATCGGTCTGTTCAGAGTTTCTATTTTTTCCTGGTTTAATCTAGGAGGGTTATGTATTTCTAGAAATGATTCCATCTCCTCTAGGTTTTCTAGTTTGTGTAAAGGTATTCATAGTAGCCTTGAATGGTCTTTTGTATTTCTGTATTATTGGTTGTAATATCTCTCATCTTGTTTCTAATTGAGCTTATTTGGATCTTCTTTCTTCTTGACCTATCTTGCTAATGGTCTATCAATTTTCTTTTCCAAGAACCAGCTTGTTGTTTCATTTATCTTTTGTATTTTTTTGTTTCAATCTCATTTAGCTCTGTACTGATCTTTCTTATTTCTTTTCTTCTGCTGGGTTTGCTTTGTTCTTGTTTCTTTGTTCCTTAAGGTGTGAACTTAGGTCATCTTGTTGTGCTCTTTCAGACTTTTTGATGTGGCCTTTAGGCTATGAACTTTCCTCTTAGCCCTACTTTTGCTGTATCCCAGAGGTTTTTATAGGTTGTGTCACTATGATCATTCAGTTCAAATAATTTTTTAATTTCCATCTTGATTTTATTGTTGACCCAATTATCATTCAGAAGCAGATTATTTAATTTCCATGTATTTGTATAGTTTTGAGGGTTCCTTCTGGAGTTAATTTCCAATTTTATTCCACTGTGGTTTGAGAGAGTACTTGATATAATTTTGATTTTCTTGAAATTTATTGAGACTTTTTTGTGACCTACTATATAACTATGTCAGAGAATGTTCCATGTGGTGATGGATAGAATGTATATTCTGCAGTTGTTCAGTAGAATGTTCTGTAAATATCTGTTAAGCCCATTTGTTCTAGAATATAGTTTAAGTCAATTATTTCTTTGTCAACTTTGTCTTGATGACCTGTCTGATACTGTCTGTGGAGTATTGAAGTCCCCCACTATCATGTTGCCATCTATTTCATTTGTTAAGTCTGGTAGTAATTTCTTTATAAATTTGGAATCTCCAGTGTTAGATGCATATATATTTAGGATTGTGATATTTTCCTGTGAACTATTTCTTTCATCATTATATAATCTCCCTGTTTGTCTTTTTTTTTTTTTTTTTTTTTTTTTTTTTTTTTTTTGAGAGGGAGTTTCGCTCTCGTTTCCCAGGCTGGAGTGCAATGGCGCGATCTCGGCTCACTGCAACCTCCGCCTCCTGGGTTCAGGCAATTCTCCTGCCTCAGCCTCCTGAGTAGCTGGGATTACAGGCACGCACCACCATGCCCAGCTGATTTTTTGTAGTTTTAGTAGAGACGGGGTTTCACCATGTTGACCAGGATGGTCTCGATCTCTTGACCTCGTGATCCACCCGCCTCGGCCTCCCAAAGTGCTGGGATTACAGGCGTGAGCCACCACGCCCGGCCTGTTTGTCTTTTTTAACTGTTGTTGCTTTAAAGTCTGTTTTGTCTGATATAAGAATAGCTACTCCTGCTTGCTTTTGGTGTCCATTTGCATGAAATATCTTTTTCCATTTCTTTGCTGTACATTTATTTGAGTCCTTATGTGTTAGGTGAGTTTCTTAAAGACAGCAGATGCTTGGTTGGTGGATTTATATCCATTCTGCCATCTGTATCTTTTAACTGGAGAATTTAGGCTATTTACATCCAATGTTAGTTTTGAGACATTAGGTACTGTTATTTATCCTGCTAGTTGTTGCTGGAATATCTTTCTCTTTTAAATTGTGTTATAGTTTTGTAGGTCTTGTGAGAGTCATGCTTTAATGAGGTCTATTTGGTGTATTTTAGGTCTTATTTCAAGGTTGACAACTCCATTAAGCATTTCTTAAAGTACTGGCTTGGTAGTAGCATATTCTTTCTGTTTTTGTATGTCTGAAAAAGACTATCTTTCCTTCATTTATGAAGCTTTATTTCACTGGATACAAATTTCTTGACTGATAATTATTTTGTTTAAGGAGGCTAAAGATAGGATCCCAATCCCTTCTGGCTCATAGAGTTTCTGCTGAGAAATTTGCTGTTAATCTAATAGGTTTTTCTTCTTAGGTTATCTGATCTTTCTGCCTTACAGCTGTTAAAGTTTTTCCTCTGTCTTGACTTTAGATAACCTGAAAATGATGTGCCTAGATGATAATCTTTTTGTGATGAATTTCGGAGGTTTTTTTGAGCTTCTTGTATTTTGACGATTTCTAGCAAGACCAGGAAAGCTTTCCTTGATTATTTCCTTTAATAAGTTTTCTAACCTTTTAGATATTTCTCTTCTTTCTCAGGGACATCTATTATTCTTATGTTTGGTTGTTTAACATAATCTCAAATTTCTTGGAGGCTTTGTTCATTTTTAAAATTATTATTTTTTTGCCAGATTGGATTTATTTGAAAGCCTTGTCTTCATACTCGGAAGCTCTTTCTCCTACTTGTTCTAGCCTATTGTTGAAACTTTCTAATGTATTCTGTATTTCTCTAAGTGTGTCTTTAATTTCCAGAAGTTGTGGGCTTTTTTGTTGTTGTTGTTTGCTTTTCCTTTATGGTATCTATTTCTCTGGAGAGTTTTTTATTTATATTCTATATTGTTTTAAAAATGTCTTTTAAGTTGATTTTTAACTTTCTCTGGTACCTCCTTAGTAGTTTTATAATCAACCTTCTGAATTCTTTATCTGGCAATTCAGAAATTCACTCTTGGTTTGGATCCATTGCTGGAGAGCTAGTGTGATCTTTTGGAGGGTGTTATAGAACTTTGTTTCTTCATATTATCAGAATTACTTTTATGATTCCTCCCATTGGGGTAGACTGTTGCAGTGAAAAGATCTGGAACTCAAAGGCTTCTGTGTAGATTCCCTCATCCCATGAGTTGATCCTTTGATGTAGTGCTCTCCCCTGCCCCCAGGGAGGGGGCTTCTTGAGAGTCAGACTGCAGTGATTGTTATTGCTCTTCTGACTCTAGCAACCCATTGGGGCCACTGGCTCTGGGCTAGTGCTGGGGAATGTCTGCAAAGAGTCCTGTGATGTGATCTGTCTTCAGGTCTCCCAGACATCGACACAAGCACCTGCTCAGCTGGAGGTGGCAGGGAAGTGAAATGGAATCTGTGGGAGTCCTTGGTTGTAGATTTGTTTAGTGTGCTAGTTTTCTCAAATGCTGGGTATGCTAGCAGTAAAATTGTTACATGAACAGTCCAGGACCTCTGGTAAGGATGTTGTAGGTGCTGAAATTAACCATTGTTTTCTCCTTATTTGAAACAGGGTTGTTCTGTTATAAACAATGATTCAGGCAAATAGTTTTCATAGATAGATAGATAATGTCTCTTTGTCTGGCTTCGGTATCAGGCTAGTTGGTGCTGACTTCGTAGAATAAGTTTGGAAGTAGTCCCTTCTGTTGCATTTTTTA